TGGGTTTGAGCTCATTAACACCTACACGGGCGCGGAACGTCCCTTTAAAATTCTGGCCTTCTAGCTTTTCAGGTTCCCGAGCTTGCAACTTACCCGAAAAAAATTTTCACGAGCTCCTACGTGGGTACCACGCATCCCGGGGACTGGGTTTGAGCTCACTAACACAAACTTGGATGGGGAACATCCCCTTAAAATTTAAGCTTTCCAGCTTCTCTGGTTCCCGAGTTAGCAGCTTGCCCGTAAAAACTTTGGCGGGCTCTTATATGGGTATCACGCGGGTAAGACCGTCCATTTTGGAAAGTGGAGGCCCGTATATGCATGTAGATTAAGTTTCCAAAATTTCAGTCTCGTGACTTTTTTAGGTCTCACGATCAAAAATCGCTACAAACAAACACACAGACACACACAGACAGTCCCTCGTCAATGTGCGTTTTCTGCATTGCATACCTGTAAAAAACAAATAAAAATGAAGGGGAGATAATGAGCCAATTTCTACTTTTCCTAAAATCAAGCTGTTTCTTTTTAAAGCTAAAAACTGAGAAATGATCATGGCAAAAATTTGCCTTTGTTCGATGCAGCATATAATTTGAACCTAATTTCTCGGTACTCACTGATTCAAGCTTGTTCGATGCAGCAAAATGTCCGAATTCAACAGGATTTTTAAAAAAAAAATCAAATTTTAACATAATATCATCCCTGCTATCCCTAGTAAAGTATCGGTGTTAAACTATGCCGAAACTTTTGGCTATGCTGGTCCCTGTTAAAACTTCTTGCATTCAGGCTTACAAAAGCCAAAACTGATGAAAAAATTCAATATGTGAGCTTTTCGAAAAAAGACTTGTTCGTCACAGGATTTTGCTTTTTTTTAATGTTTATGATCAGTGCATGTGACAGTATTTGTGCCGTTTGTGATAAGAGGAGCTAAACATGTCAACGATTCATTTGCAACAATTATTGTAACACGTACTTCAGAATTTCTGGCGGTACATATCCTTTCGAACCACAAAATGTGTACGAGACATCGCCGTTGTGCATTATCCTTGAAAATCCAAAATCGCCTAGTTTAATGTTACCGTATCTATCCAAAAAGATGTTCTCGCATTTCAAATCGCGATGCGCTATTTCATTCGCTTTTAAATACTAAAATAATGCGCATTTACTAATTATCAGAGACATTTTTCGCTTAATCTTCCTGTGAAAAAGCTTTAGATGGCAATTTTACGTGGCGCAGCATTTTTATTCAACCATAGGAAAATCGCTGAAGCCCACAGCGAAACTGACCAGGATATCAGTGGAGTAAAAAAAAACCTGTTAAATCCAGGAATGCAAATATCGAAATCAGCGCACAAAACCACACATACTATAGAAAGTGATTAACGTGTTCTGCTTAGAACTCGTTTTGCAATTCAGCTTTTCTTCAGAAAAAAGCCGAGTTGCAGAACTCGTTTTTGAAGCAGTTATAATGCAGCATAGTATTTTTAACTGCTATAAAGAAAAATCGACTGCTATGAAAAGTTGAGGCATGGGTCAATTTCATGCAAATCCTAACTTCCAGTGCTTCGACCAGTTGCCGAATTAAGAATTTGGCAATAT